CAAACCTCCACACCAGTGCCAAGGTTTCATCAAAACTATTCCACCGAGAAACTGTGTAGTCTCCAGTCTCCAGTCTCCAGACACACAAAATTCTGTACTTAGAAGAGGCAGTGAGGCTCCTTTGTAGGTTCATAGTGAGTTGATTATTGGGAAAGCTCTATATTTTCCAATAACATCCCCCAAATACTTCCTGGATGACGGTAATCATTTTACAAGTGATTGCCGCACGGGGTCCAAAATTTGAGCAAGCACGAATTATTAAAATCTGTACAAAGATACATCACTGATAGCTGCCTGGGCTTTCCATACAAGCGAGGCCTCAGAAATGGACGAACCTCACAGAAAACATTTCTACAACGAGCCTTACAGAGTCCTCCTAAAAACACATGGCTCCCCAGCACCATGTCTGTGAATCTCTCCACCAACTAAAAATGAATTTCATTTGTCATGTGGCACATAAGCACATGGTTGACACATGTCTTCCTTAGTTTGGAAAGAAAAAGAACTTATTAAACTGATGTCAGAAATCCAGTGGGATTGATGTTTGTTTACTGTTTTGGAAAAAATATAATTTCTGAAAAACTGACACATTTCTACAGCAAATAAAATTAGTACGATTTGTAAAACAATTACGATCAATCATGTTCTTTGCATCATGAAAGTATTTACTCAGCTCTTCAAAAGAGATTTTTTTTCCTCTACATAAAACAGAATTCACTTTTCTGCAGTAGAGGAAATACCTATTTAGAAGCCCCTTTACTCTGCCTGTCCATAGTAGTTAAATCTTTAACCAAGAAAGGAGAGAGTTAAAAACAAAGAGGCCAAAATATTTGCTTACAATGCCATAAAAGAGATCATTTTAGTTTTTGATTACCACCACCATTGTCCTGCTCCAACCCAAACATCTGCCTGTCACCCCATAAACATACTTACACTTCTCTTCCCTTTATGAGCAAATAAATGGAGCTTTAAGAGGCTTTTTTTTTAATAGATAGCAGCTGTTTGGCTGCTAAACACTGCATCTGGAAGGGAGTATGCTATTCACATGGAGGAAAAAAAAACACCCCATTGTTTAATTTTCTTAAAGTACACCAATGTTTTACAAAAAGATACTTGAATGCTTTGGATGTGCAGAAAGAAGAGCTCCATTAAGAGTTTCTGAAAACGAGTATATTGCTACCAAAAAACAGGGTTTGCTCCATGAATAGCTGGTATTAGATTGTGTATAATATGGGGCCAAAGACTGTTATGGGGCATGAGTTCAATGCCAGGCAATTCACAAGAACTGACATTCACCTCCTTCTTCTGAGATGAGCTCTGCTTTAGACTAAGATGAATCATTATAGTTTCCTTGCTAGGCTGTAACTGTAATTTTCGGAATGCACAATCTGTTTAAAATATTAAAAATAAATGCCATGGCAAAAATCAGAGAGACGTCTGCTTTACAGAAATTAAAACGAAGCCCCGACTCCAGGATCCTGGCATGCTGTGTGAGGCTACTTAAAAAATACTGTGGATCATGTGAACTGGGCATGGTGGTGCACGCCTTTAATCCCAGCACTTGGGAAGCAGAGACAGGTGGATCTCTGTGAGGACAAGGCCAGCCTGGTCTACAAAGTGAGCTCCAGGACAGCCAGGGCTGTTACACAGAGAAACTCTGTCTTGAAAACAAAACAAAACACAGAAAACGAGAGAGAGAGAGAGAGAGAGAGAGAGAGAGAGAGAGAGAGAGAGAGAGAGAGAGAGAGAGAGAATATCAAGGCTGCTTCTACCTCATCCTTGCTTTTCCTTTAAAAGGTGGCTTGATATGTGAACCCGAAAACTTCAAGGTCATTGAGTTTGGCTCTTGTAGACTGGAAACGTTTCTATGCAAAAGGACTTAGTTCAGAAGCAGTGAGAGATGGCTGATCCAGTGACTCCCTGGGCTACTTTCTCCCTTTTCTGCTCTCATTTCACCTCGTCCTTCCAGCTTCCAGTTCCGCCAGGGATACAACTGCAGAGATTCCAGAGATACAACTGCAGCGTATGCCTCACCCCCTCTTCCCTCTTTCTGAACCTCTAGCCACACACACCACACAGGTTAACCTGCCAGTTATCTGCACAATTTAGAAATAATCTAAAACGGGCCCACTCTTATCTCTTTTTCTCAGAAAGAAAGAATTTTCAACACTGTGTGAAAATGATGCAAACTGTTGGCATCCATGTGGCTTTCAGGCAGGGTAAACAGGTTAAGTATTAATATGCTGGATAGCACCTTAACAGTAGCTTGGAGGATGGCTATAGCAAGTCAATTTAATGCCACATAAAAAGGAGCAGTCTGAAAACTTGGATTCATTTTCTTCTTAAGGCCATAGGCTGAGGCTCTGAAGATTACACAAAGAAGGGATAGGGCAGGAATATCTTCCGCCTCTTTGTTCAAACGCTGGGTATCTCCATTTTTCCACTTCCATCTCTCTTACCCTGTTCATTCTTTCATTTTGTTGTCTTTTTTGAAACAAGGTCTCATCTTGCCTCTGCGGATCTCAAACTTGTTACATTGTCCTTTAACTCCTGGACCTTCTGCCTCTAGCTCCCAAGAGCGGGGACAGGTGTGCCCCTCCCCGTTCTTACTCCACTCATTCTTTCTTTGTTAATGTCAGAGGTTGTAATATGACTAATCCTCAGACTACTGCACATCTTACTATATTTCGTTAAAACTTATTGTAGCTTGGTTGCTGCACGGGGATTCTTTCCCTTGAGGTAGATAAAGTCTTACCAAGGAGCCAAGACACACACATCACTGTTATAGAATGATAAATAGTCCGTACCAAAATACTAAATTTTCTGTAATTGAAGTTAATATACTCATAAAAGACACTGAATTCAAATAGTTTAGAGGAATGGGAGAAATCAATATTGTGATATATTTTAAAAAAGCTTATTAACAAAAAATTCAGATCATACAACTGTCTTACACATTTTATTTCTATATAATTCATATAATTAATTGACATACACTATTTATAAGCACATATACAAGACTCCAGGATCATCAAAAATAGATGAGAAGCAAATGTCCATGTAGACTATTGAGTACCTCTCTAAAAGAAGGCAGCCACTGACTAAGGTTGCTAGAAACTTCATTTTTATTTCAAGCTTTTGCTTTTAGGATCACCTCATCTGCTTGAATCATATAACAGTAATTGCTGTAATTAAGACATATATAAAGTAAATATTTAATGGTAAAATATCAGCATGTGTTGTCTCTTGAAGACAGAAGAGCATAAATGATCCAGTCTGTGCCCACGTGGGGTAGTGTGAGCTCTGCTGCTAATTGACACTACTGCTCTTTACATGAATCAGTTGTCAACACTGTTAGCTGACTCTCCTGCCATCAGGTCCCCGTGCAAGCTCTTTAACAAGAGCCCCTGGCCACACCCATGATCTTCCTATCGGAAGCACTTTGTTCACAAACTCAGAATCTGAAAGTATGTCTCCAGTGGAAAACCAACGTTAAGCACCTGAGTTTTAGTAAGTTTTTAAATATCTCTCACTTTTAAGGTATTAAAGGCCTGACCCGCTGCCTCAACAGGTACAGGTGCTTAGTGCTAAGCTGGACAACCTAGTTCAATCCCTAGAATCGACAGAAGGTGTCAGTGAGAGAACAGACTCATAAAACTGTCTTCTGATCTCCACACACCCACAATGATAGATGAAATCAAGTCTAGATGTGTGTTTAAAAGAACGGTGTTATAAAAAGGAGTCTCCAGGAACAAAGAGATATTCGTTTATAGACTAAGTCCTTAGCTATTCAGCTTCTCCATGGGACCTCATCTGAGCTGCCCTTTACTTCACATAAAGATGAACAAGTTCAAATGGCCTGTTTCCTGACCCTGACACCCCTGCTCAGCTCCCCTTACCATTGTGTGTTACACACCTCTACATACATCTCTATCCTTAAGTGTAGAAACCTTGCCAGAACCAGGCTGGTCTACAGGAAAGACTCTCCTGCTTCTGTCTCCTGTGTGCTAGGACTACGGGTGTGCACCACTACATCCAGTTTTGTACCATTTTTATGAGGCAAAATATTTAATCATATATTATGATTAATTATGCAGGTAGATTTTCAGTTTTTGCTCGTAAGCAGCTGGCAGCAAGGCTGTATCTCTGCCTCCTGAAAGCAGCTAACACTGTATCCTGCACATAAAAGGTGCCAAGTGAGAAGTGAGTTAGTCACTGGGACAGTGACTAGAAGGAGATGGGAGAAAGTCCTTTAAAGACTGATTGGATGAAGGGTGCAGCTGAGGAAGGGAGGCGGCCGACTTCTCACCCTGAACCTGAGCTAAAGAGTAAGCAAATCAGTCGACGGAGAATAGATACTTCTTCACCTTATTGGTGGAAGAGTTGCTTCCCTAGGCAACATTTGGACAACTAACGGCAAATCATTTCCAGCACAAAAGCTTCTCTATGGAACTTCACCAAATACTTTAAAAATCAAACAGTTTCCATGACCCACCATGCTTCTTGCCTCTTGGATAGCAATGAAAGAAGACGGGCTCAGGTCATGCACATCAGGAGCCCGTGAGAGAGCTCAGCAGGTGAAAACACTCGCAGTGCACGCTGCATGGCTAGTTTGACCCCTGACCCCCAGTGGAAGGAGGTAGCCGATTCTTCAAAGCTGTCCTCTGACCTTCCTACACATGCCGTGGCATGCAACGCTCGCGCTCTCTCTCTCTCTCTCTCTCTCTGTCTCTGTCTCTCTCTGTGTGTGTGCTGTCTGTGTCCCTCTCCCTGTTTCATAATGATGACAATGATGAAGAAGAAGATGATAAGATAAAATCTTAAATGGCTCATGCTTGTACCCACCACCTTTCTTTCCTCTTTTCCACCCCATTCTCTTCCATCCAGCAGACTCTCTGCAGAGTTCTTAACAGACACATCATTACTGAAAACAGAAATGCTGAAAGCAGAATATTTCCATCAGAGCATGTAAGCTCTAAGTCAAGCGTTGCTGTTGTTACCTTTCATAATCTTCACATGGGTGGGTGATGGCTACCAGAGTCTCGTTATGTTTCTCATTTGTGAGGTGTCGACGTGGAATCTAAAAGACAAAATGTATAAATGCAAAGGATACAAAGTTCAGATGTGTCTCGTGGGAAGAAGAGTCTATGAGTCTCAGAGAGAAAGCCACCTGTTAAGTGTTAAATGCGTTTTCCATCAAAAGCCGTGATTTGATTCTCATGTCTTATTTTCAGTGCTGTTAGTCATGAGAAGATAGACCACAAGCGTGCCTCTGCCTGCTTCAGCGAAAGGGTAAAGCACTGAGTGTAAGCAAGACTCAGCCTTTCAGCTAAGGAAGATTCTGATGACAGAGAGAAATTGTCCTGTAACAAAGAGCAGAAGGCTGGGCATTCCAACATGCAAGGCATAAACTGTTGAAGCTCACAGACTGACATGCTTGCAATTCGATTAGCCACACTGTAGGGACAAGCTGTCCAGGAGTGCCTAACCACCCAGTACCACCAAGGCCTTTTTTCCTAAAATGCCACTTACTCCAGATTTTACTCAATGGGAGTTAGTAATTATTTCCATGACTTTTAGAATAACAGAAGAATTAGTGATGTTACCACTAAAAGACACAATTTTTTGTCCTCATTTTTTTCTATTAAATATTAATTGCAACTTAGTAACCCAAACTATGTCAAAAGTTGCACAGGCAGCATGGTGCCTCAGATGGTACATAGCAGACACTTGAATTTGAAGAACTGGAAAGCCAATTCCTGCAAGCAATTAACACATTTAAAATGCCTCTGGAAACTAGTACTTTCCATGATCCCTTTAGAAAATGTAGGGAGTTGGGGCTGTGAGGAACACGAGGGCAGCTTGTCTGCATTTTTCCAGTTTCTCTTGAATTATAACAACAAGCCCCCAAAGTCTGATTGTCCCAGATCTCTGAGAAGGACTCACTATTGGCGAGCTACCTAGACACAGTGTGGGAGGGTGGCTTTTTGTTTTGAGCTTATGACAGCTGTTTCAAAGTCATCTGTTACCACCAAGGCAGCCGGTTACTAGATGAAAGCAGATCCTCTGGGGACTGCTGTAGGAACTGGACCACCAACTAGTGTGGCTTTTTTTTTCTCTTAGTTATGCAAAATTTTGCAACTGCCTCTCTTCTTTGTATGATGCCCCAGAGATGTTGCAAAATTCGTCAGTCACTGAGGAGCAAAGCCAGAGGTACCTGACAAGGAGGGGCAAGAAGGCCTACTGTGGCAGTTCTAGAAGATGTGTTTTAAAAAATGAATTAATAAATAAGCTTGTAACAAAGTCTTTAAAGATACTATTAGTTTAACCAAGGCATCAAGAACTCTACCACCCCCAGTTCCCAAAGGAGGCAACAGAAGCCCAGAGAGGCAAACAACCTAGCCAGTCAGTCAGTCAACTGCTCTTTGAGGACCAGACACCTAGCTCTTCATTTTTATACTTCTGTAGTTGCACATTGTACAGGTAATATTTCATTTTAAGTTTAAAATAAAAGCATGCCTGTTTTAATACTAAGGTTTACGTTATAAATGAAACCTCAAAAAAGATGTCATGGGCATTACATCACATTATTTGGATTCTGGGAAATCTTGAAAATGGCGCACGTGGAAAGGAAACCTGCAGACTTCATCTCCACTAAATCCCAGGTTAGGGTAACCCCGAGGCCCAAGACAAACAGTTGTACTGAAACACTCTCCTCAAAAAATCTTCACAGAGCAAACAAAGCAGAGTCCATCTAGCTGGATTGTCTTGTCCTTGCATGGCCAGCAGCCCAGAATGCTGATGAGAGGTCATGAGAGAAATGAAAGTTAGGCACCCAAAACAGAAAAGCTGGGATCTGGTGGTTGGTGCTCTTTGATGGAGAAGCTGCAGTACCCAGAAGTTCAGAGCGTTTATTTTATTAAGTGAACAGGGAGACAGGGTTATTGCATACAGATAAACAGAGCAACAGGGTTGGTATATACAGGTAAACAAGAAGGCAGATTTAGCTAATCTTGGTAGGAAAAAATCTCTGTAGGAGAGCAGTCTTCAGGATGCAGTCATCTGGACAGAAAGCTGGGAGAAATCTACCACTGACATCTTCTGTACTTTGCCATCTCTCTGAGCTTTACCATGGAAAGGCTCTGCTACTCCCATGGGTTTGAGGTATTGGGATCTCTGACATGGTCATGCCCTTGTCAAACAATACACATTCACTCAGGACTTGACTTGATCCCTTCACTGGGTGGTCATGAGCTTACTGGATTTCTCTTGGGTGGTGTGAAGACTAGCAGACAGGCAGAGAAAACACCAGCCAAGAGTTTCTGAGTCAGAGGCCCATCTGGCACTAGGAACACACTGCAACTATCTTTGATTATAGCTCCTTCACTTATTATACAATGTAATTCAAGACATGTTTATCTCATTAAACATTTTAAATACTTGAAACCGATCTTAAATGAAATAACCAAGCTGGACACAGAAAATGATGATTATTTTTTTTAACTTTTATTGATTCTTTGTGGATTTCACATCATGCATTGTGATCCCACTTATCTCCCTGTCACCTCACTTCTGCCCTCTGCCCTTGCAACCTTTGTCCCAAAACAAAACAAAGAAACAGAAACAAAAACAAAAAACAAACAAAAGAGAGAGAGAGAAGAATCTCGTCGAGGAAGCTGTAGCATGGCCGTTGAGTCCCATAGTTCACCCTTGAGCCCATCTTACTTGCAAGTGTTCATTGCCACAAGTCATTGGTCTGGCTTGAGGCCTCTGGCTTCCGCTGTGCTACCCACTGATAATGGGCTCTTACCGGGGCTCCTCTTGGATATTCTGTTGTCCTGTGTCATAGAGATCCTGCTCTTTTGGATCTGTAGATTTGTTCCCTTCACATGCTCCAACAGTTCATAGATGGGGTACATGTTGGGATGAGCTAGCTCATATCCCAGGTTATGGGCCTGGGTAGCAGCTGAGTTGGTCATCCCACCACCTCAAAGACGATGATTTTTTTCAAGAGCAACTGTGTTGGAGGTACAGAAGTGTCAAGCAAAAAATTATGCATGAAAATGCCATAAAGAAACCTGTTGTTACCTTGTATGGCAATTAAAAAACAAGTAAAATTTAAAAATTGCTTGTGAATGCTAAATAAACAGTGCAAAAACAAAGGCAGGATTGCGTACCAAATCTCTTAAATCTCTTTGTGCATTCAAGCTGGACTTCCCTAATAGTTAATCTTGAAGTACTGAAAAACGCAACTAGTCGAGTTTCTGCTTTGTTAACTAGCAAGTTACAAAACCAACACACTGGTGACCACACTGTGCTTAGACCATACTGCTCACTGTACATTCAATGAGTGAACAATGGTTTTTATTTTTAAAATCTATTTATTTTGTGTGTGTGTGTATGTGTGTGTAATGTGTATGCATGTATTCATGTGAGGGTCAGAGGTTGTTGGGTATGTTCCTCCAGTGCTCCACACCTTATCTTTGGAGACCGGGTCTTTCACTGCATCTGTGCTCACTGATTGTCTAGACTGGCCTGGCAGAGGCCTCCGAGGATCTGCCTCTCTTTGCCTTCCTCATGCTGGCATTACAGATATGCACCACCACAGCCATCTTTTTAAGTAGGTTCTAGGAACCTGAATTCAGGTCTTCAAGCTCACCTGGCAGGCAATTTCCTGACTGAGCCATCTTCCCAAGGCTAGCTACTGGCTTTTTGGTCTTCATGTTTTCTTGTGTCTGTGACATCCATCCCCTGCCCTGCAGGATCATTGATTTTGCCCCAGAATCACTCATGTCTTTTATCAATAACATGATGTAGCAAAAGGTCTTGCCGTGATACATCTAATTCCTCTCCAACAAGGTGATTGTTAACTTATTAGCCTTTTCTAAAATCACCTCTAGAATTTATGGCATATTCTTTTGAAAATATTTAGGAAAGTTCTGTTAAAGTTTTATGAATGGGGTGAAGAAAGCCAAGTGAATAGTACTAGTTGCTTTCAAAAAGATCATAGGATGACAATCTCAGAGCTGCTTCCACCCGCCCACCCCAAGCCCAGTTATCTACTTTTTAAGCCACAGAGAGAGAGCAGCAGAGTAATGGTGAGCAGGCCGCTGGGAAAGAGTCTAATTTCCTCACACACCCCTCCCGCGTTTCCTCTTCTGTAAGTGGGGGTGATAAGTGCACCCCCTCACAGAACTGCCACTAGCTGGAGTGCCTGCCTGGCAGGTAACTAGTTCTATATAATTTTAAAAATTGGAACACAGTACAATATTCCCGAGTAGATGTAATGTGCAAGGATGAGGGCCATGCCGCAATCATGCTATTTTGGTCCCTTCTGAGGAAGTAGGTCAGTTCAGCATCTTGACTCATGATCATATTGACAGCTTAATGTGTGGAAGTAGATATAACTTGTTATTTCTAAGGTTCCTATTGACTAATGATTTTTCAGGTAAGGCTATAGGAGACTGTCTCAGAGAACTCATCATCTTGTTGAGAAAAATAGGATGACAAGCCTGAGAGGTCCCAAATCGGGGATTTCTTGTTTTCATATCCCAGTATGGGTCACAGTGAGGACTTTCCACCCTAACAAATAGAAAAAAAGATCGCATGCTAACTGCATACAGTGAAATGAAAGACAAATGCTATTGTCAGTTAGGAGTAGAGGGTTACACGTCATTGTCACCAACAGTGGTTTACTCAGGTTTTTAGCAGATTATTTACATTGTTTTATTTTTACATTTTTTACATCAATGAAAGCAAAACAGAAAAATGAAAATTTTATTTAGAGTTGCTTCAAAATTTAGTTCCCATAGTGAAACAGATTATAAGTCAGACATAATTTTTAGAACCAAAAGATTTAGCTCTAAAGACCACAGGAGGAAAGATGCCCAAGTGGCTGACGACATCCTCTCACGCTAAAAGCAGGTATGTTCCTTCTTTCCCATCACTGGATTAATGTCTTCTCTCTCTTCCTCACCCCACTCACTTCCTCCTCTTCAAAAAGGAATCTCTATATTGCTAAAGAAGCAGATGGTGCTTTGTGTTTAACTTAACCAAACCTTGCCTTGGATTCTTGGATGGAGTTCAGTACACCAGTGAAGATCATAAGTTGTTTGATTGTTTAAGCAGAAGTTTACACAATCCAGTTCCAAAATAATTCAAACGTGGAGGATAAGACGCACTGTTGGAAATATGCTGTGCCGATCAAGACTGTGCTATATTGTCGGAATGTGTCAGAATATAAATATCATAAAAGGCATGACACCTTCACTTAAGACAGGAGGTACTTGAAGCTGACAAGTCATTCTATCTCTACAACATGTGTTTCTCTCTGGGGCGTTGCATTCGTAGCTCATTATACTTGCTTAGCAAGCCTGTTTCATTTCAGGATCTGCCTTTACTAAATTTAAAATTAAATGTTAACCAGGTTCAGGACATTTTTTAGGATGCATTATTAGTAAGCACTGAGCCATCATCAAAATTGTTATACTCATTTGTATATAAAACTACTAAAAAGTCTGAAAGATACTGTCTTGAAAATGGAGAAACATGCCTTCATTTACTTTTATATATAAGGACAGTTACTGAATTTTTATGGCATTTTAGCACTTAAGAATATGTAACAGGGACTGGCTAAGGAGTTGAGAGCCCTGGCTGCTCTCAGAGGACCCAGATTAGATTCCCAGCATCCACATGGTAGTTCATAATCATTTGTAACTTCAGTTCCATGGGATCTGTTGCTCAGTTATGGCCTCTGGAAGACAACAAGCAATTCATGGCATATATACATACACACGGGCAAAACATTAATACACAGAAAATAAAAAATAAAAAATATGTATCAAACTTTCTAACAGACCCCAAAGGAGCCCCACCAGTAGAAAGTTAATAAAATATTGTTAAAATTAGGAGAGTAATGTGCCAGTATTAATTTAGTGTATTAAATTATTAAATATATGCCTCTGTTTCCTAGCAGGGATCTATGTGCATTGCCAACCAGAACTTCTGATCAGTCCTGTATTGGGGAATATTACTTTAAGGTGTGTTACTTTTGTTTATATTGCCTTTGTTTAACTCTGTGAAACTGTGTTACCGTGGCTGTCTAAAACACCAGATGGTCTAATAAAGAACTGAATGGCCAATACCGAGGCAGGAGAGAGAAATAGGCAGGGCTGGCAGGCAGAGAGAATATATAGGAGAAATCTGGGAGAAGAAGTAGCCAGAGAAGGAGGAGGACATCAGGAGCCAGCCACCGAGCTACACAGCCAGCCACAGAGTAAGAGTGAAAGTAAGATTACAGAAGTAAGAAAAGGAAAAGGCCCAGAGGCAAAAGGATAATTTAAGAAAAGGTGACAAGAAACAAGCCAAGGTAAGGCCGGGCAATATAAGTTATAAATTGATTAATTTATAATTATAAAGTTATAATTATAAATTATAAATTCCTATAAATTAAGAATAAGCCTCCGTGTGTGTGATTTATGTGGGAGCTGGCAGCAGGCCCCTAAAGAGGCAAAAGAGCAAAACAACTAACTACAGTCCTGTGGATTCTAATTTTAGCTTCTTCATATGAAAGCAACAATGCTCTCTGAACACATAGTGCTTGCGGATTTTTATGATATTTTCCAATCACATTCTTATGACTACCTGCATTGGAAATTTCCTAGGTATATGACTTAGGTTACACATACACAATAATCTTACTTTTGAGATTATTAAACATAGTACACACAGCATAGTACATACACATTTCACTTAAATTGTGTAAAGTACAAAAGTCATAAATTCACAAGTAGCTTGGGAAGATACACAAAACTGTCATTCAAGGATAAAGACCTGAGATCTGATCCCTAGCAAGCACATCCAAAGCCAGAAATGGCTATTAAGCCTATCTATAACCCCAGTGCCCCAGGGGACAGAGATAGGAATATCAGAGCCTGCTGGCTGCCATCTGAGTTCCAGGATCAGTGAGAGACTGTCTTAAAGGTGGCCGGGCGGTGGTGGCGCACGCCTTTAATCCCAGCACTCGGGAGGCAGAGCCAGGCGGATCTCTGTGAGTTCGAGGCCAGCCTGGTCTCCAAAGCGAGTTCCAGGAAAGGCGCAAAGCTACACAGAGAAACCCTGTCTCGAAAAACCAAAAAAAAAAAAAAAAAAAAAAAAAAAAAAAAAAAAAAAAAAAAAAAAAAAGGAATACTGTGGAGAATGATAGACAAGGACACCTGACATCATTGCCTCCTCCAGCCGTCACAAAATGCATGGACATGCAGCACACACATAGTACACACACACACACACACACACACACACACACACACACACACCTAGTACACACACACACACAGTACATACACACACATAGTACACATACATACACACACAGTACATACATACACACACAGTACACATACACACACACATAATACACACACACACACACACACACACACACACACACACGAGTGAACCATCTCAACCACAAGTGTTTGGCCTGCCCTTCATGTCATTCCTATTCAGTAGAGAGGAAACAGTGAGTGTGGTGAGTCAACATTGAGAGCTGGTTGGGGAAGTAGGGCAAATTCAGCTCAGAGTGGGCAGACACCTGCAGAGTCAGGAAGCTTAATATCAACAGGTGCTCATATGGTGTGGTGAATGAGCAAATGAATCTCTCCTCTCATTCCATTAAATTCATTTAGAAAAAAAGCCATCAGAAGAAGGCACAACATTTTTAATTTTTAGTTATCTCTTATTTTTTCTAGTAACTGCTGTGGGTGACTTTTTGCAAATTTCAAAGCATAAACTATTTTATGCCAATATGTTGATGACAATAAGTAACACAAAACCCTGCTATTATCATCAAAATAAAATAAAATAAAAAGTGACGTGGAGGGGAAAAATACATAGTAGATTAGAAATGATATATTTTGTTTCTCCATATGTATTTTTGGCCTGACATTAATTAAATGTAAGCTCCTAAGCCCCCGACTCTCTGGGTGTCAGTCTTCAGGAGAATCACAGCCTAATTGTATGATCTCTAAGGTCACTGGAAGTGTAAAACTCTACAATGGTCACGTCCAAGAACTGACGGTTGGAACCCGGGACTGTGGTGAGGACCCTCACTTCACAGTGCTGATGCTTCCAGTCTCCGTGTTTGCTGCCTTCAAAGCAGAACGGGAGACTTGCCTCATCTGAAAACTGCAATCTCATGTGTCGACCTTTCATTTGCATTTAATACTTTGTCAGGCTGACTGATAAGAAATAATGTCTCCCCAGCATGTACAAGCCACTGACAATACCATCCACACTGGCCGCTATGGCGACATCCTGAGTGCTCTGCCCATTCCCTGTCTTATGATATAGCCATCTTTTCAAAACACAATTGATCTTGTCATCCTCCCTTTTCCTACACACATAATAAACAAGTCTTTGTGGTCTTCCATCACAGAGACAGAAGCTGTTAATGCAGCTGGAAGGTTCTAAATCCCTCAAATGGGTCACTGGAATCTCTCTGGTGTTCTCCCCAGTCACCATGGTGACATGTCCCTCCAAGGTGCAGTGCTCCTTTCCACTTGCCCCCTGGGCTCCTGCTCCCTCTGGATCCATTCTTCCCACAAAAAGCAATCACTCCCAGGTCTCTGGAAATCCTTTAATGTGCAATTTTACAACTTTCTCAGTCCTCTTGGCAGCACTTATTGTGATTTTACTATTTTGGGAGCCTATGGCTGTTCAATCTAGATCATTCTTCTGCAACAGAGTGTACATTCTATCAGCTGGTTTGTTCTGTAACAAATGAATGCCCAGTACACCGTCCAGTGCTTAGGATACCTAAGTGTCTCAGAAACAGGGACTGAATGAACTGAATACCAAGTATGGCCACGGATGGTTATATAGAGAACTATACCACATCTAGTACAGAATTTAGAAAACATTTTCCTAATATTGCCTTAAATATTATGTTTAGCTTAAATCACTTTTTTATACCTAAAATAACATGTTCGTGTGTTCAAGAAGCCTTATACCTAAATTCACCCACAGTAGTGTGTGTATACACACACACACACACACACACACACACACACTCAAACACACACACACACACACACACACACATGAAAATGGAGTACACTTGCTTAGAAAAATAAAACATATCAGTTAACTATGAAACTTACCGAAATTTACAAGCATAAAAAAACTAAGGCACCAGTACAATATTTCAGAATATCAGATAATTTCAGTGAGAGCAAAGGCAGGAATTCATCTTTGCTTGTTTGTAAACAGTGTCTCCCTCTGTAGCTCAGCGTACCTCACACTACCCCAGAACTCGTGGCCTTCTTGCCTTAGTCTCCAGAGTAGTAGGATTGCAGGTAGACAACACTCGGCTAGGAGTTTTAAGAATATAACAATGTCAGTCAACAACAGCATTAAAGAGTGTATATTCTACACTTTATTTCCTTTACTGTCTCTAGCCAACAGGATTCTCATACTTAACTAGCACCAAAGTTGCTTGTAGTGTGGAAGAAATTGGAGGGAAGGAAATGTAGACACCGGTCTCATTTACAGTAATGGCTCAAGGGACATTAAGAATGAGAGACCTTTGACTGCACATCATTTGGATAAATCAAAAGAAATAACCAAAGAGCTATGGTTTGAGGTATTTTTTCCATTTCATATTTCTGAGAAAGGTGTTAAATCAGGGGACTTTTATCACCTGTTTCCTTCTAAGAAATCTATTTGCTTTATAGCAGTCAAGTTTTGCTACCACAGACTCTCCACAGTTCAGTCACATCAGGGTACCTGCATTTCTTTTACCTGCAAAACTGACACTTGGGGGAACTGCAATTCCAACTGTTCCCAAGCCCAGGAACCAGAGATCAGGAATCAGGAAGCCCGGAGTCTCTCACCCAAGCTACTAGAAACTATCTGTAGACAGTATCGGAAACTCATTCCAATACTATGAGTCATGAACACTGGTGAAGCTAGGATTATTGAAATCCTGCTGTTGTGCACATGGGCTTGGTGAAAACACACCAATGATCGACTTCTACCCTATGAAGTAGGTCTTGTGTGTGGTATGATCCCTCATCTGTAGCAAGGTAAGTATCTCCTTATTCCTAATCTTCATTTTGCTCTGTCCTGGGAGATACTCTTGAATTGTAGATTTATATTGAACAATTTTAATTAGAGATCCTCAAATTACAAATTCATATTTTTAAGCATTTTAATTGGAAGGACTTAAAATCAAATGTAAGAGACAAATCACCTTGTCTCTTACATTCAACAAGCTGACTGCCCTTTACACTAAGCTGCATCTGTGAAGCAGATATAATGCTTGCCTTTCTCAAAAGGAGGAGCCCACTAGTGAAGCACAATGGTGTGCCTGAAAACAGCCTTCAGCTCTCCTGACTACCAGATGATTTCATTAGTGTTTCCTGGCAAACTGAAAGCTCTACATGTGTTAAGACTTAAACCATATTTGATGCATCAAAGCTCACTAAAAAGCCAGTAGCAAAAGTGTGTTTTAAGAGGCACAAATGTTGTCAAATATGTAATTATTGATGAGTGCAGATTATTGAGCTGAAGGTTAGAAAAACATGGAACTAAAGATGGGTCTTCTTTATGGAAGTGTGCCTCAGGTGAAACCTGTTGTGGGTAGTTTTTGTATCCATGCCAGGTAAGCCAGACCCACCTCCATCCACAAGGCCTCTTGCTAATAGTACCAATTGCTCCAGATAAATTCCCATCCACTTACAAGGGAAGTTGGTAAAGACCAGGCTGAGCCAGTGTTTGTTTGTTTATGAGCCTGGGGATTGATCCAGGCATCCTTTTATGCTCGGTAGGCAATCCATCGCTCTGCTGCAACCTCCCCTCGGTTTGTTCCTTTGGATTCTGTTTCTCTAAGACAAGGTTTTACTGTGTAGCCCAAATATTCTAACTTGCACTATGGTTTTTTTCCCCCTTCCTGGTTTTTAGAGACAGGGTTTCTCTGTGTAGCTTTGAGCCTTTCCTGGAACTTGCTTTGTAGACCAGGCTGGCCTCGAACTCACGTATATCCATCTGCCTCTGCCTCCCGAGTGCTGGGATTAAAGGCGTGCGCCACCACCACCCGGCACTATATTGTTAACAGTGAAGAGCTCTATGTGTTTTGAACTGTCATTATTAAAAAGTCTGTCAACTGTACTTATTGTCATTACCGGAGCTACCTGGAAACTGCCTTGCAGATCAATACTCAGGTGCCCATTCCCAGAGTGACAGAAATAAACACAAAAAACTGAAGCTGAGAACACAAGGTCTGGGTTCTACACACAGATCTGAAGAAACGAAGGCTGTGTCCCTCAGTTCCAAATGACAATTCAATTCCTGCCTCCAAAAATGATGGCTGAGCTCAGACTGAATGATGAAAACCGTCTGCTTCTGATGAGGGCCAGCATGGATGCCAGGTTCGAAATCCATTTTTTTTGCTTTTATAAACTGAATCCTCTCAGACTAATTATATCTTCATATTTGTCATTATTTAAAAGTATTATTTCTTTTTTTTTTATTTTTTATTTTTATTTTTATTTTATTTTTTATTTTTTTTTTTTTTTGGTTTTTCGAGACAGGGTTTCTCTGTGTAGCTTTGCGCCTCTCCTGGAACTCACTTGGTAGCCCAGGCTGGCCTCGAACTCACAGAGATCCGCCTGGCTCTGCCTCAAGCAGCAGATATTCTAATCAAAAATTTGTTTTCCAATGTTAACCCATATTTAGGCAAAATTTAATTTGTCTACATTAGACATGTTATGTTTCTTTTTATGATCAATCAAAGAATTGGTTTTGATGCTATTTATATGCTTCATATTTTATTCTACAAGGAATATTCAAAGAGGATATACATTTCCCATTGAAACTGAACAATCTTTCTCTAATTTTAATATACTTCGGTGCTTTTTTATTGTCTGAGAGTTTCATACATGTATATACTGTGTTTTGGTCAAATCCAGACCCTTTCTTTCCCCTGAAATTTCCCCCTATTTCACCCCTCTCCATTATTCCCCCCAACTTCATGTGCTTTTTTTTAAAAAAAAAAAACCATTGAATACACTTACTGCTATCAGAATGTGTGTGAATGTAGGGCAACCTACTGCTTTTGTTTTTCAGACAGAGTCTCGTGTATTTCATAGGCAGTGCCCTATGTGTGTAAGTGCAGGAAAGGGTTTCCTGAATAGGACTCAATTTACCCAAGAATTAAAGACAACAATTGATAAGTGGGGCTTCATGAAACTAAAAGACTTCTGTACAGCTGAAGAAACCATCAATCAGGTAAGAGAAAGCCCACAGAATGGGAAACAATCTTTTCTAGCTATACATCTGATAGAAGATCAATACTCAGAATATACAAATAACTCAAAAGGCAGAGAGTCAAAAACAAAACAAAACAAATAACCCATTAAAAAGGGAGGGGTGGGGTGGGGCTGGAACCTGAATAGAGAGTTCTCAAAAGATGAAGTAAACTGTCTAAGAAATATCTCCAAAAAATTTTCATTGTCCTCAGTAATTACAGGAATGCAAATCAGAACAACTGAGATTTCATCATATTCAAGCCAGAATGGCAAAAATCAAGGGAACAATTGACGACAAATGCTGGAGGGAGCATAGTGGGGGAAGGGAACCCTTATTCTCTCTTGGTGGGGTTGCAAACTGGTACAACCATTATGAATATCAATGTGGAGAAGTCTCAAAAAGCTGGAAAATAAATCCACCACAGCCATATCACTCTTCGGCATATGCCCAAAGGAATCAATATCTTACTCCACAGATACTTGGCATATTTATTGCTGCTCTGTTCACAATAGCTATGAAATGGAAACAACCTAAATGTCTTTCAACTGATGAATGGATAATGAAAACGTGGTCCATATGCACTATGGATTATTTGACTACCAATATCAGGATGATAAAACAGGACCATTACTAGGATCGGGGACTGAGAAACAATAATAAAAAGAGAGTAGCAAAGTACAAATAATCAGACTATGGAAATGGGGAAAGGGAGCAGTTTAGGGATCGGGAGGGAGGTAAATGCAGAAGAATGTGGGAGGAGGATAAAGGGGAATAACAAGATACAAGTGATCTGATAGGGAAAACTGGAAAAGGGGGTCTCCTCAGGGAAGAGGGAGGGAGGTAAATATAGCAGAAAAATATGGATGGCTAAGAAAATTCACAAGGAATCA